GGGTCCGGCCTGCTCCACCGCCGCCGCCGGCTCTCGTTGACTCTGTGGAGAGGAACGCGCCGCTGCACAGATTACTGTCAGCGGCGTGTTCGTCTTCAGCCGCCAGCAGAGGATCCCATAGCGACCCAGGCGGCCCCCGCACGGCATCTGGCAGGGGCCCCGCTGTGCCCCGGGAGCCCCATAGCGGCCGCCTGGGTCGCTATGGTGATTGTTGCGCCACTGAATGAGGAGAAGGTTCTCATTCTGCAGATCAAAAAATGTAACGAGCAGGAGAGACGTGATCACCGCAGGTTGCGCGCAGTCATAATAACCTATCGGCGCTGCCTGCGCTATGCTGCCATCTTGTGGTCATATCAAAGCGTGCAGGCATCTCCAGCGGCCAGTCAAATACAACTTAAAGGGTAAGTATTTTTGGATAGCTATCTTTTAAGTTACCCCCCAGCACCTGCGGGAGTCATCCTGTGCGGCACGCAAGCCCCCACGATCCCCGAATAAATTTAATTCAGAAGACGGACAATCATACCGGCCAACCCTTTTCAGGGGTTCAACGCCGCCCTTCATCAGGGCCTGGTACTGACTCTCAAACCTCCGGGTGAAACTACAAATCCCACGATGCCTCTCTCTTCGGGAGTCGCGTCTGTGAGAATCTTGCAATGCCTCCATGGGATTTGTAGTTCCACCCCCACAGCCGGAGGGCCGGAGGTTTGAGACCCCTGCCCTAGAAAGCGTTTTATTAATAATACGCATCATCATAATACCCTGTAGAGCCGAGGTGAAGCAGAAGGCATCAAACTTGTCCTTCAATGGGTCTTTGGGGCCGTAGCTTCGTATTCCAGGAGGAAGGTCCCCGCCGCACGGTTGCCGCGGGACGATCACCGGGTAATGAACCCCGCCCTCGAGGAGCCACCCGGCGTTGCACCAGTCGAGGCCGTCTGTCCACGCTGGCAAGAAGAAGAAGGGAGACGGGATCAGTTTTTTTTTTTTTTTTTTAGGTCGGACGGGAGTTATTCCATTTCGCACCCCCC